TCTTTCTCTCGACTTCTCGAAACCTGGAAGATAATATTACAACTACAATATTGATTTAATTGCACAGGGTAATATATTATAAAGTTATTATGTAGAAATAAAACAGCTAAACTAAATGGATGAATGGATGGGATGAATGGATAAATGAACGAACAAAACGGGAATAAACAAAGGAATAAATACATTACTTGAGTATGCTCTGTTGTTGTGGTAGAAGCTCTTGATGCGTGACCCTCAAAACCGAGTCTTTCTTCTGAAATTAAAAGAACGATTCAACAATAAGAKTTTTTTTCCATCTTACGATCGTTGCCTTGGACTCTAGAATGAATTGCTTGAAGTCATTGCTTTTTTCCTTTATTCATAATCCCCCTGCCTTCACTTAAATAAATGCTGCTCCGTTATGGGACGATACGGGGCGTTAGGAGATTGGAGGAGTGCACTTGTCAGTTTTGTTGYTTAATATTGAATGGTCCATGAATTTTGGCATCAATAGTCTTCTTCACGGTTACCTGCGCCATCTTGAAAGTAGCCGTGCCTTTGCATCGAAGCGAGACGACCGTTGAGCGTGCAATGATAGAAATCATCTTTCACACCTACAGACAATTATCACAGGTATCTATCATTACACGCTCAACGGTTGTCTCGCTTCGATGTAAAGGCACGGCTACCTTTCAACATGGCGCAGTTAACCGTGAAAGAGACTACTGCATGCAGTACTCAGTAGCAGCACCCTAAGTATCATTAATCTATCATCATCATCATTATCATCATCATTATTATCATCATGATCATCGTCACCATCATCACCACAACCATCATCACCATTCCCTACCGTCCATAGGTGACATGGGGGAAACTGGTGCAGTGTCATCTATTTCATCGTTACCATGAGATTTATCTCGCCACAAACCATGAACCTATTAATATCAATAAATAATAGGAGGATAATGAAAAATGATGTCGGTTCAAATGATTTTATTATGTTATTTAAATAACGTTACCTTTAGCGAGTAACGATGGAAGTACAGCGCCAGCAACAGCAGTAAATCATAGGCAGACGTGTGAGTAACCCGTTCAATCCCAAGAATCCTTGGGTAGCAAAGTGGGTCGTTTTTGTCTGTGCCTTCCTCGTTACAAGTGTTGAACTTTATAAACGGGAACTTGAAGAGATACTTGATGACAATCACAACCTGGAGTTCAAAGGAGTTATTTTTTAACAATTGGGCCCTTTGACTATGTTTTATAGTGAAGTTCAGGTGAATTTTTCCTAATGCTTAAGCCATACACACACACAATAAAAAAACAACAACAAGCAAACAAGTAAACAAAATAAAAACAACAACAACAAATGACAATACAAAAACACAGAATAAAATAAACAAAACGAAACAAAACAAAGCAAAAACAGAACAAAACAAAAAAACGAAAACGAAAACAAAACAAAACGAAGCAAAACAGAACAAAAAAAAAACAAAACGACACAAAACAGAACACAGCAAAAAACAAAAAAAACAAAACGAAAAACAAATCAAACAAAACAGAATAAAACGAAACAAAATATAACATTTCAAAACACACGGTCATTTTGTCAACAGTTAATTACTGCTGTCTATATCTGTTCATAATAATAATCCACAATCGTTTAAAAGAGCGCGACATGGAAAACATACTCTACTATAACACCCTACGTACAGTGCACTAACCTGTGTATACGTGATGACAGTGATCCAGAATCGTTTAGTAGGGCGTGGTATCGATAACATACCCCACATAAATACCAGGAATGGTAAAGGCATTGATAACAGGCAGGCATACACCATATGGTTCAATATCATTAGCATATAACATATAATGTCTGTATGGGCCAGTAATGCGTACACAAACGCTACGGTCAGACGGGCCACTCGCATTTGAGAGTGTCTCCACTGAGCAGCGTCCGTTTCTTCGAGGTCAGCTATCGACAGCGAATCGTTGTCTTCGTCTGTAGGGCGGTACACGCTTGACTATGATAGGAAGACAAGGATGTTTCTCAATGATTTGATCCTTAAGTTTAATAATTGGATGAGTTTGTGAGACTGACTAGGAAGATACGTACATCAATCAATCGATCAATCAATCAATCAATCAATCAATCAATCAGTGAATCAATGAATCATTCAATCGATCAATGAATCAGCGAATCAATCAATCAATCAATCAATCAATAAATCAATGAATCATTCAATCAATCAATCAGTGAATCAATCAATCAGTGAATCAATTAATCAATCGATCAATCAATCAATCAATCAATCAATCAATCAATCAATCAACCAGTAAATCAATGAATCATTCAATCAATCAATCAGTGAATCAATCAATCAGTGAATCAATTAATCAATCGATCAATCAATCAATCAATCAATCAATCAATCAATCAATCGATCGATCAATCAACCAACCAGGTAATTAATCTGCCAATCAATTCACCCCTACATTTTTCAACTCAAAACCTATAATTGGATTCAAAACAGCCTTCAAACCTTGCTTTCGTTGACGTCAGAGTCGGATCCCGTCTCAGGATGTCTTGACCAYGGATACAAGTGACTATGTCTTGAACGTCGTAGTTTTTCGAGTCGTTTTTCTTTTCTTTCCTTCTTCAACTGRTCGGCAATGGATCGRTAATTCTTCGAGATTTCCCTCAGAACTTTAATGACGCYATCGACGACCATTGCAATGTAATAATAGATCCAGCTAATCCATCGCTTAACCTTGGTCACAGGCCCCTCTGGGTCGACTATGGCTGTGGATGGCTCGGGAGTTGGGACTGTCACAAAATCTCCGGTGCTGAAGTTGGATGTGACGGATTCTCGTCCTGATGTTGATGGCCCGGCAGCAGCTTGTTCTGTGTTAAGGGAGTGCAATGTTACTATAAAATGTATTGAGGAATACTCCAGCTTCGAATTCTCTTTTGTACAAGCTTAGCTTCAATCAAGCATAAATTTTTATTGTCTTCTTTGTACCTAAAGTTTTACATTACAATAGGATCTCTGCTGAATATAAGAATATATTACATGCTTTCGAGGTTAAGACTGCACAAATAAGATCTCGAAACTGGAGTATTGCCATCACAAATGAGCCGAAGCTACTCAAACATTCCCGCGAAACTACGAAAATTAGACAACAGTCTATGGCATTAAACAACATTCAAAGACAAACGAACCTCCTCTYGTTTCTTCATCATCGTCCTCGCTAGAAGATGTTTTGCGCGTTGAATGAGTAGGGCTAACGGATGGAGTATCAGCCTCGGAGTCACTTTCCGAGTCAGACTCGAACCAGTAGTAGTCACCAGAATAGATAGCTGTCAATCACGAAACCAGGAACGAATAAGATTGTGGGCATTGGAAATATGAGAAGATGAATGGGATGGGAAAAGAAGTGGAGAGAAGGGAAGGGGAGAAAAACGAGGTAGAACAAGAACGAGAAAAGTGGAGACAGTTAGCAAGATTTCAGTAGTTGAAGAGAATAAAAAGAAAATGAACGAATGGGAGAGATATAAATATGTAACAGTGACGAGTGTCCGAATACCTTCATAATGCGATTGCGGTTCGTATTCACCACCAGTAGGGTGCAATCTTCCTAATTTATCCACCAATTTATTCACACTGTGAAAACGAAAAACAGTGACATACTCGTCTGACTTACACCCTGTGTTACCATCATGATGGTCTACAATCTAATGATTCTTCAGTTTTCGTAAATCATGCAAACTTTACAGTTGAAATACTAACGACCATTTCGTGGTTTTGATCCTGTAAATCAAAACTCCGATCTTTGTCGAGATGTTTCCGAAACTTCTACCTCAAGACCGAATGAACTCCGAACATTTAACAGAGACCTGAAAGTTCATCGTTGAATGTTCGGAGTTGATTCGATTTTCATTCGGCGAAAGCTCTTGCATGAAGTTCAGAGTTTTGGTTGGCGGGGCAAAAACACAAAATGGCGGCTGGCGTTTGAGCATTTGCGAGTTCGCATATTAACGAAAACGGCAGTAATTGAAGTCTTAAGAAAAGAGGTTAAGGGGATTTTATAATCTAAATTTTAAAACATCTTACGATCGTCGGATTCTGTCCATTTTCTGCTTATCTTCCAGTAGCTTGCCGTCCAGTTGTTCACGCAAGTGTTGATTCACAAGCTCTGCTCCTCTGAAATGTTAAAAATCACAATAAAAAACAAGAACGATGACAATAGTAACGTACTTTCTTTCGTGTCACGCAATCTCACCTATTGGCCATYTCCGACTGCTCGCGGTGGTCTCTTACAACGTGACGGAAGTAATCAGACGAGAAGATCCGATATTGGATAAGGAGAAATGTAAAGCAGGCACAGTCCATAGCGAGACCGGTGTCGTCAGGGGCAACGCAACCAGTGTCCGTGACGGGTTTTTTGTTCTGGTAGCCTGAGTCACGCAAGCAGAACATGCTGAGGAGCTGTAACGGCCAGCAACCGGTGTAGTCTTGGACRGACTGCATCCATACACATGACACGGCCTGGGGGTAGAAAGATGAGTTAGGAAAACACATAAGGATATAGGGATATAGAAAACCAGCCATCTGTAAGTCACAACTGGTTGCCAGCGAGAAATACTCCAATTTCGAGTTCTGGTTTGCTCTGTGTTAGCCTCAAAACCAAGTAACATATTCTTTTGTTTCATTGATAGCTCGAGAAAACGCATGGAATCTTGTGAAGAAAGACAATAAATTTGATTTGAAATCTCACACTTTTACGCTCACAATGAGGAATATTTTGCGCACAAATGAGGCTAACACAGAGCATTGGAGAATTCGAAACTGGAGTATTCAGGAAAAAAGAACTCTCCCGGCAAGTACTAGTCTCCTCTCGCAGCGGTTAGGACGTTCGTTCCCAGGTCACTCCCCCTTTTACAAATTTTGTACATCGCTTTTACAAGATATTTACAATGTTTGATCGAGCAACATTTACAAGATATTTACAGAATCTACATAAAATTTACAAACTTTGTAAAAGGACATTTTGACTGTATTAAAATTGAATTTACAGTATATTTATTTACAGCATATTTACATATTATTTTTGTAAAACTACTCTTCTAGTGTAACTCGCCACATTCAAAATAATTCTGAACACAAGTAACGCAGGCTCAAGTTTACAAGAAAGTGACTGAGCGAGTGACAGATTCTCCCCCCTCCAATACCTCKTCGATTGCTTCGCAATCTTCRAGTTAAAAATGRACKTCAACCAAACATACCTGTAAACAAACTTTAGCAAGAAGAGTCGAGTAGTTGTAACAAATAAAAGTCTTCCATAATCTAAGGAGCTTTTTCTTTGGTTGCAAGTACAACGCTTGTCCATGCCATAGGAAGAAAAAACACCAAAGAAGGAAACCAATGTTGAAAATACTAATTGTACTTTGAACAGTGATGTAAACCACGGCTAGTGTTATCCAGTAGATGTGCTGGAATGTGATCAGCTGAAACATAAAACGAGTCAAAGTTAAGGGATGTGAAAGAGAGGAAATAAGAAAAGAATTGACGGAAGGAAGAATAATTAAGAAAATAATAAAGGAATATAGCACGAAAAAAAAGAGAAAGGACGCTAATATGAGAGAAGGACAAGGGAAGAAGGATGGAAGGAAGGGAGGAAACATAAGACAAGTCAAAGTAAGACGATGTGAAAGAGAGAAAGCAAGGGAAGAATGAAGAGAGGGAATAATTAAGAAAACAATTACACAGGAAGACAGCACGAAAAAAAGAGAAAGAACGCGAACTTAAGAGAAGGAGAAGGGAAGAAGGGTGGAAGAAAGCAGAAAATGAAAAACAGAATGAGACCCAAGAAGGATACCAAAAGAAAAGCCACAAACTTGTAAAACATCTACGTCATTAAAGAGCAAAACAAGACAACTGAAAGCACMAAAGCACAGTCATACTACCTTAGAGAAATCAAGCCATGTTATGTTCCACATGAAGTCAGGCGTCGCACGCTTATTTCTGCTACTTCTTCTATTCACAAGATTAGGTTCAACTTGTCCTTGTGGAATCTCGCTCGACCAAGTATACCTTTCTTGGCTGAATACATTCTCTTGACAGCAGGCGAACAGAAGCTGTAAAAAATCGCCTAAGAAACAAAAAAAAAAAAAACGTATACTAGATAAATAACTGGGATCTGGTTGTACAAAGACCGAACAACACTACAACCAAATAAAACCTTTTAGTATGCACAAAAAATATGGGCTATTATAAATCCAGCAAAATGGTGTCCATGTACATTACATATTCAAACCAATCACTGAGCGAGAAAGCTTGCCTTTGAATGGTTGTCTCACCTATAAGTAGCTTGGGTTCTGGTGGGTATGTGACGTCTGTCAGGTATAGCCAGTGAATGAGGTTTGGATCGAGAACTTTYGTCCATGGATAAGCTGCAAATATAGAAAAAAGAAGAGACTTTTGCTAGATATTTAGAATTTTACTATTATTAATTGTGACAATAATAATAACAAGTAATAATGCCAATGGTTTCAAAATTGTAATAAAGTTTGTATCTTGATTTGGAAGATTTTTTATCGCAAAGCCCAAAAGAAATGACCGGCTATYGGAGTTAAAAATTTATYCTTTCAAGTTGCAAGSATATTTGGTACTGGTGTTAATTTCAYGTAATTTTAAGTCCGTAGYACATYTAAACTTACCCAGACATAATCCCGGAGGCCAACCAAGGCATATTAGATAYTGAAAGGGTAGTAAAAATGCTAGAAAGCCMACATAAACAGGCCAAACTACAACACAGCTTTGACGTCCCAGTGCTAATAGAACTCCAAGCCATATAGCATAGATAACAGAAGTAACATCACACCGAACGGCCATGTTACAGACAACAGCCAGTAACGACATCTTTGAGAAAAATGAAAAATAAATAAATGAACAAATTATGAATAAATTAGCAAATGAATAAATGAATAAATAAACAATTGAATGAATGAACAATTGAATAAGTGAAGAAATGAAGAAATGAAACAAATGAGCTCAGCGTTTCTGATTGACTAAATACGAAGAAAGCACTCCAGTGGTTTAAGACCCTAGTTTGCACTAACAAAATATACAGGTGTAAATTGAAAAATACATACCTCCCATCCAAAATGAAAGAAAAATTTGTTACACATATATTTCAAACACTGAACAATGTCTTTATCTGCCTTTTCRCGWGTTGCAGCAGCAAATAATATCCCTTGCTCAGGCTCTGCCATGCCTTTTCGTATTCTGAAAAGTTTCTGTGAAAAGAGAGTGTACATTTGTTACTATTGCGTTACAAGATTGAAACGAACTTCATTTCTTTCAGTATGAAGAGTAAATGACGGCAATGCCCGTCAGCAATCTAACCGCGCACAATAATTTTGTAAACAAAGCAATTTAGATGACGACATACAGTCATTAAAACATTATATTATTCAATATTATATTAGAATATTATTATTGAAAAATGGTGCCTATGGTTCTTAAATGACAAATTTTGTCTCCTCTTTGGTGGAGACTTTGTTTTGAGAATTCTCTTCGTGATATTAGAAGTTAATAACTTCTTACCGCCTTTTTGTGCGTGTGCGCTCTTTAGAGCRCATAAACATTGCCCTGGTTGTGCAGAACGTTGGCCCAAAAACGCGAACCATATTGCCAAGAGAAAATTGCGGAAAAAGTGATTACATTACGACGTTATACTGCACTTGAGTCTTGCACAACGCATTAAGGGTTGCATTAGCCTCCTCCCCAGACAATTTTTTTTTTCCTCCTTTGGGCTTCCTTTGTAAAKGTCATCTTGGCCGTTAGGGAATAGTAACTTTTGTCTCCAAAAAAGACAGGAAGCCCGTGATTATCAGTAATGCCTGAGAGGCTAGGGTTGCATAAAGGTTGTCTTTGTTATATTGTGTGATATCGCGAAGACTCATGTTCGAAATGTCCAAGAAAATTATAATTAAACTGACCTGATGATGTCTTATGACGGCTTGTACAACAATGGCAATAACTATGAAAAGATATCCCTGGAAAATAGATAAATATCTCAATTACTAGACAAATTAATAAATGAAAAAATGAGAATGAAAACATGAAAAAATAAAACATGAAAAAAATAAATAAAATAAATGGAAAAACATAAAAATGAACAAATAAATAAACGAATAAATAAAAGTTATTGTGCACCCTGTGTTCTATGGTGAAACAAATTTATAAAG